TTTTTTATGTATTGGAATAACATTAGCTATCTTCATATTAGAGGGCACAACACCAAGAGAAAAGGAGACATTGAATAAAGCTGCAAGTGGTTCAGATATCACCTTTTTTAATACTTTAAGAATCTTAACTGGAACACTAAAAGGACCTGTGGATTTATTATCTTTAAGAAGAGAGATTTCTGTTTCAATTTCTGATGCAGTTGCTGGAAAAACATAGAAGCTATCACACAGGGGACTTTTAAATAGTCCATTGGTCCTTTATCCACATTTTCGATCTTATYTGCTAAGGTAGTACCCACAGTTGAGAAATATTTATTAAAGGCATTAGCTATTTCCTTTGGATCCGTTAATTCCGTATCATTTTTTTTAAGATTTTTTCTGGCTCGATAGAATTTTTCTTTGATGTCGCGTCTTACAATCTTCACGATCACCGCTGGTGATGATCTTTTACCTTTATAGCTTTTAGCAGAARGCATGCGGTGGCTGATCGAGATATCTTCGTCGTTAATGTAGACATCCATCAGATCACCAACTTGCTTTACTATTGCGTTTGTGCTCTCGTTCTTGTTTGTGGACATTTAAAGTAAGCAACAACGAAAACGTAAGCAAATCAGAACACTGTTTATTACATGTTATTAGACTAATTAGGAGTAAATGCGATCTTACTAGTCATACTACTCACTAGTTTTATCAATTGTTCTTACATTCCATATGATTATTTGTAACCATTAAACCAACAATTGAGTTGCATGTCAAGTACTCCAGACTAATTGATTCAAGAACGCTTTTCCATGACGATATAGTCTGTTCCACTCACCAAAGTCAAAACAATTTGTATACTAAAGGAGCTCTCACAAATGTGGTGCATCCCTTGCTGACCTTACTAGTGGTGAATGCACTCAAATTGAGTCATTGCGTATGGATATTACTTAAATCTAGTGCGTGACTAGAATATTGCACTTAAGACTAGCAGGTACAGATTCTGTGCATCTTTTAAAGCTGCACTGTGACCAAAATGGACGTAATCTGAAATAATTTGAATCCATAATTTTTCGCCAGAATAGTCTTTGAATGACTAATTTCCAAAATATCTTGCAATTCTGGCGAAAGGAAGYAAAGAAATAAATGCTTTTACAGAGCGATTTCGAATGTTCGCCATCTTTGAATTGAATAAGTGAGCCTGCTTGTAAAATGAGCAGCGGTYGATACCATGGAAGTCTATGACGTAGTTCGCGCAACGCTTCGATGGCATTCACTCAAAACTACAGCAATGTCATCGAGTGAGAGTGAATTTTCAGATTATGTTTCCTTGGATTCCGAAGATGCATCGAGCTTATCAGAGTCTTTATCTGAGATACTCAATGCCGACGACGTTGAAAGTAATAATTACGTGTACGAAGAGGAGCCAGAGGCTACTGAGGAAAAAAATGCTGCCTACCTCAAACAGGTTGAAGCCGAGGAGAAGCTAGAGGAAGACCTCAAGAAACGTTTCAACGAAGAAAGTCAAGTAAATACRTGGTAAATGCACAGTGATGATACGGATTTCAAAAGGAAATATTTTCATTGATCTGACGTTTYCATTTGTTTCTACAATTGTAGGTGTAAATGTTCTAACTGTTCCGTCGAAAATCTAGTGAAGCACGAGGAGTGTTTTTGTTGCATTGAACTCGACCGTTGTCAAGAGAAAATGGAGAGTAGAGTATAGAAATGGACAACCGTTGCATTACAATCCATCCAGGATTTCGCAACGTTTGCTTAGACAAATGGGTCCTCGAAGTTGCAGCTATAGGACTYAAAACACGGAAAGGACGTAGTTACTTGGCGCTATATAGAGAAGGCAGGAAAACTGAATCCGAGTAAGTAAACACATAAGCGTACAATATATGCAGCTTTTGCATGCAGTCACAAAAGAAAAACGTCCAACGTTTTGATATTATTTTTCGTTCTGTTTAAAGCCCACTGGAATATTTCTCGGTATACAGCCTTTTGCAAAAATTATGAGAATTGTTGAAATATCTAAATATCATAATATCGAGTGCATGATGGGTAATCCCGCGCGATGCCCTTAGTCCCTTGTTTTTGTAGTTTAGTTTTTTTTTGGCGACAGACTTATCCGTAGTTCTGAACATTTTCTCAATGTCAACAATGAATTATTCTAGCAAACCCGCGTGTTCCGGACAATATATGGATATGGATATTATGATATTTAGATATTTAGACAATTCTCATAATTTTTGCAAAAGGCTGTACACTACATATACTGTATATGTATACATAAAATTCTTATATCCATTCTTCTTCTTCATAGGTTTCTACGTTCTGTGGGATACAGACAGGTCATAAGATTTATTTTCGACTACATGGGTAACAGTATGAGAACACCACTGCCTGCTTGTGTTTATCATGCCATAAGGGCTAAGTTCCCAAGTGACAATTACGAAGGTTTTGAAGAAGAAGAAGTGGAAGAGGAAGACGATGACGAAGATGAAGGAGATGAAATGAACAATGAAGTCAGTTGATAAAACACACCTGTAATTATGTTAACAAATATATACCTAATTGAAGAAACGTTGTCGGGTCCAAAAAGGTCAAATCATAGAAGCTAAGACCGAAAGGVTACTTGGGAAGACAAACAATTTGGCTGATTTGATAACAAACAGCTCTCCAGAATAAAAGACTATCATGCTGTTAATCTTACTAGCTCTACTTGCTTAGTGTACACCGTATACGCAAATGTAATCCCAATTTAGTGGTACTCAAAAACCCTTTCAGTCTTAGCTTCTATGATGTGACCTTTTTGAACACGACTACGTTTTTTCAATTAGGTGCATACATAATAAGCATAGTTTAAGCTTATAATACCATAACGTAAGCTTATGTTTATGTCTATGCTTCTCTAGTGTCTCTAGTTTTTATGAGCAACATACATGACAATCTTCCATTCCTTTGTAAATATACTATTGATTGTGGGCCTAGAGAAAGACTGATAATGTAATAATAATTCTTTGAGGCTTCCAATACCATTTTTGATGTAAAAAAAAAAACAAATCACTGCTCTCAAAATTAAATTCTAATTGTTGGTTAGTTGCATTGCTTCCATTAGTCCTCTGCATTCATCTCTATTATGGCCTTTCATAGGCTTGTGACACTTTGTGCATCCAGGAGCTTTGCGTGTTTGCCCTGGCTGCCTTGGTTGTGGTGTTGATGTAGATTCCTGCAGTAAAGTTGCCATTTCTGCTTCTGTGGTATAACAGAATTACAAAATTTTATTTTTACAGTTCGTCAATGTGACAACTTGTAGTCAACATATAAACGATATAGAATTAGTTATGGACTTTAGTCTCCTCAGTTGCTCTTCTATTACACACTATACAACATACCAGAACATGTAGGAGGGCAAATCACTGTCTCTTTCTCCTTTCTTGATAGGTACTTCTGCTTAGCCTCTTCTTTGGTTTCTTTGTCTAACATGCTGTGCATTGGCTCAGGTGTAGATTCCTTTAGCTCCTCTTCCAAATCTCTTAGTTCATCTCTTGGTGTGGTTNAATGCGCGCATAAGTGATCCCCAAAATATTCGCGAACGCAAAATGGCAAAACTATTATTTAGCGTATTGATTTTTTAAAGATCTCCGATATTACGAAGCGTTTATACATGATAAAAAGTAGCTCATTATTTTAAATTATAAAAATTATAGTCTCTTACCTTGCGATGGCCTCTGGAGGTGACAGAAGTTTGCGCGATCGCCGAATCCTGCTCTGCCTTCCAAATTGTGGGAACTGATCCCGGGATCAGAACCCTCTTCACTCCAGGCATGTGTATTCCTCTCGTAAAGCATGAACCATGGAAATGATCAGAGCAAACCCCGAATTGCCCTTCTGGACTGAAATTTTTCCTGTGGATGTCTACAAACTTCTTCCACTTTGCGCGCATCTGACTGTTTGCCGGTGAACTATGGATCGAAATACCTTTTTCGCGATCAGCCTTGTTGCTGCAACCTTGCACAACACACCGTGTTGGTGGCATGGTTCTCAAACCGAGATATTTGATTTTTTGAAAGCGATGAAGAAGTTTTAAAGCAAAATAACCTGTACCAGTAGTGACTTATATATGCGGTGTGATATTTTGGTTGCGCGAACTACGTCACAAGTCCTCTTCCCATTCCCCCTCGGTCATTTTAATTTTATTCAACGGGCTTCGGGAAGAAACGACGAAAAATACATCTTTTAATGTGATTTTGGCTGAATTATTTTCAGGGATTAATATTTACATATTCGAGATTTGATTTAAGTGGTTTTCAAATTATTTCAGGTTACGTCCATTTTGGTCACAAAGTGCTTTACCATTAAAACCATTTCTTCGCTACTTAATTCAAGGCAGTATCGTTCTTCCATGCACTTACATTTAGTGGTACATGCAATTACATGCCTCTTTTCTAGTATGACGTCACTTATATTAAGTATCTCAGCCTACATCTAAGGAATTACTAACTTATTGCAAGGGATCTTGGGAAAACTCCATCTTAATTCAAGTGATCACTTTTTACAGTGTAGTTGTTTTAATATCACTTTCAAGTATAGCAAAGAACTCAACAAACACATTTGTAACAAATTATGTAATAACATAACGATGATAATGCTTGAAAAAAGGTCAATAATTTAGCAACTGATCAATTCACACTTGATAACACCAATTTATAACCACTTTATAACATGAATTTTACAAAAAGAGTATACCATTATACTCATGATTACTATTAAGGTGATCAATCTTAATGTTTATATCTTTATGTTTATATATATCTAGCAGTTTGCATTTACAAATGACAAATAGTCATTAAGATGGGTTAGAAACTTAGTATTGTGTGCTTTGTTTTATTTAGCTGGCATGTCTCCAATTACATAATGCTGTAAGAACGTAAGCAAATTGGCACACTCTGGTGGATATTCGAAATTGAAGACATAGTAAATTGCCATTAAGGCAATAATGACATCTGCCGCTCTTGTGAATGGGGATTCCAATTCAAGATATTTCCCCTTTTGTAGCATGATAAAGATTTGCCTCTTCTTTTCATCCTCAATTTCATATACCATGATGTAAGGGGTTGTACGCCCTTTTATTTACTGTACAGGCTCATCTCCCTAAAACATAGTACATTTTTTATAAATTAAAAGACAACTAACTAATGAGTTGCTGTTTACAAGTATTTTCAACAATGATT